ATGGCACATAACAACAACAAACAACAACAACATTCATAAGCAGCTAACATCACAGAAGCTATGTGTGGACCCAAATAAAGCAGAAAGTTGCGCAGCCCTGTTTCAAGCCCAACAGAAGACAAAATTCCTAAGCCTATCCAGTAGGCATACAAAAGCAAATGTTTCTCTATATGTTGCACATACTGTTGATGTGCTCCTTCAACACAATACGTAGCTATAAGCACAGCAAGCAGCAGTAAAAAAGACACCACAATGCTTTGACGATGCCATAATTTTGAGGTCCATTCCTTCAAGGTTACTAGGATTTCCAGAAAAAAATACTGCAAGGTAATGAGTGGCTGTCTCCATAGGACAATATTCTGCCGTTCTTCTCGATCCCTCTTCTTCTTTTCATTCATTGAAGAAGGGTCTGTGACGTTTCCATTATGTTGCTCCTTGTTCATTGCTAAACGTCTCTGGTCACAATTTTTTCCATTCTCTGCCATTTCATAGATCAGTAACTCTTGAGGAGCCGCTTGAACTCTTGAAGTGCGAGGATGACTCAGAATAGAACAGAGTTCAAATCTTTTTTTCATAGGGTTTCTATCAGTCATACTTTACTCAATGACAACCAACAACATAAAACAAACCACCTCAACTCCTGAGTAAAAGACCACGAATAAATTTTTTCTTTAATTATCTCTTAGAGTTTTATTTGCATAAGTCAGTTTAAGAAACTTTTACTAGGACACATTAAGTTGTTTGAGAGAGATAATGAAGGGAGCTGAATTAATCTTTATGTTTTCTTAACTGATGATTGATGCTGTCTATAGATCCCAACTTCAGTATAATGTGTTTTCTGGGACATCTATATGTGTACACTTTATGTAATCTCCTTTTGGAGAAGACCTGAAATACCTTATATCATGGTCAGAGGATCTAAAAAACAAATATCTTAATAAAGAAAGAATCAAGTATAAGCTTTTGAAGTCATATCATCTTACCTTCTGTTTCATTGTATTTGCCAGTAGTGCATTACTAAAATTAGTCCACATTCAAAAACAGAATGGAGAGGGACATTATGTTTGGAAAGATGGAGGGACAGGGCAGAAGAGGAAGTCTCAGGATGAGATCAAGTGATTCAGTGATAGGAGAAAGGAGATGGAGTTTGTCGGACACAATGAGATTATCTCATGATAGGGAATGTTCCAGAGTTTGTGTACATAGGGTCACTGTGAGTTGTAAGTGGCTCAATGGCATGTAACAACAACATTAACAACAATACATGCAGATTTTTTAATAATAATTATCTGTCCCATGTTTCAAATTCTTTTCATTCATATGTATATGTATTCACAGATCTTGAGATTTATCTCAATTTCACCTATATTATCATCAATCTAGTCAGTAGTTTAAGATTTCAAAGATTAATAAAGATTCATATATAGATAAGATTCCTTCAAAGTATATATAGTAGTATAATTTCTTTTCATTTAATTTAATATCTATGATCAGATACCATTTAATACCTATGAGCAGATAATCATATGATTTATTATACTGGAGATTAAAAGGTGAGAAAATGCAGTTGCTTTCATAGTAAAAATGACTGTTTCTAGATCCATCTTGAAATACAATGTTGTGAGTGACAGTTAATATCCATATGCAATCAGGGGAGACTTTTTAATATTGCCATCATTCAAATATATGCACCACAATAGGGGTTAAAGAGGAGGAAATAGATGACATCTACAAACTTTTTCTATCAGAAATCCACCATACATGCAACTAAGATGCTTTAATAATAATGGACGATTGGATTGCCAAGTTGAGAACAGGGAAGAAGAATCAATAGTCATAAAACATGAACTTGGTGACAAGAATGAGGCTGCAGATAGAATGATAGAATTCTGTACAACCAATGACCTATTTATTGCAAATACCTTTTTATAAGTAACATAAATGGTAACTATATACATGGATTTCACCTGATGGTATGCATAGGAATCAGATTGACTATATCTTCAGAAGAAATATCTGGGAAAGCTCAGTATCAGCTGTGAAAACAAGGCCGGGTGCTGATTGTTGAAGAGATGATCAACTACTCTTATGCAAGTTCAAACTGAAGCTAAAGGAAATAAAATCTAGTCCACAAAAATCAAAGTTTGAGCCCGATTCTATGCCACTAGAATTTGAAGTCCATCAGGAAAAGGTTTGAAGCCTTGCATGCTAATGAGTGAAGATAAGATGAGCTGTGGGAAAACATCAAGAATATCATTCATGAAGAAAGCAAAAAGTCACTGCAAAGACAGAGGTGAAAGAAAAGATCAAGTTAAATGTCAGAATAGACACTTCTGACTGTATTGCCTACAATGCTGAGAAGTCAAAGAAAAGAGAAAGAAGAAGTTAAGAAGCTAAACAGAAGATTTCAAAAGGCAGCACAGAAAGACAAAGAAAATATTACTAATAGAATGTACAGAGAGCTGAAGTCATAAAATCACAAAGGATTAATTCACTTGGCATTTCTTAAGCTGACGGAATTGAAGAACAAATTCAAGCATCTAGTTTCAATACTTAAGGACGTTGAAGGCAGAATGCTTAATGACCCAGAAAGCATCAAAACAAGATGAAAGGAGTACACAGAGGCACTATACAAAAAAGAATTGGTTGACACAGAAGAAAAGTCTTGAAACAACAAATTATAAAGAAGCAATGGTGGTGAAGGAGGAGGTTCAAGGTACTCTGAATGAATTAGCAGATACTCACATACATTCACTCATAAAAGACCTCAGAGATTGATGGCATATCAATTGACATATATCAGCAAACATGCTGGACACACTCACAAGGTTGTGCCAAGAAATCTGGAGGACAACTACTTGGCCAACTGACTGGAAGAGATCTATACTTATTCCCATTCCAAAAAAAAAAAAAGTGACTCAATGCAGTGCGGAAATTATCAAACGATATCACTAATATCAAGCACAAACAAGATCCTGCTGAAGATTTTCCACAAACGACTGGAACAGCACATCAACTGAGAACTGGCATAGTGTAGGCTGGGTTTAGAAGAGGCCATGACACTAGAGACAATTATAGCCAACGTTACGTGGATTTTGGCTGAAATCAGAGAGTACTGGAGGAATGTCTATCTTTATTTCATTAACTATGCAAAGGCATTTGACTGTGTGGATCACAGCAAATTGTGGCTAACATTGAGAAAAATAAGGATCCCAGAACACTTCATTTTGCTCGTACGAAATCTGTACTTGGACCAGGAAGTAGTAGTCAGAACAGACCAAGGAAACACTCAGTATTTCAAGATCAGGAAAGTTGTGTGTCAGGGATGGAGAAGAGATTGAGATTGTTGATAACTTCAGCTTGCTTGGTTCCACAATCAACACTTTTCGCATGAGCAGGCCTAAAATAAAAAGACAAATTGCACTAGGAAAGTCAGCTGTCAGAGAACTCTCTAGAGTACTGAAGAGCAATGATATCAGTTTGGAAAGTAGGATGTGCCTGATCCAGCCCATGGTCTTCACAATTACCTACTATGCATCTGAGGGCTGGACGATAACTAAGCATGATAGAAGAAGGATCAATGTCTTTTAGTTGTGATGCTTGATAAGAGTGCTGAACAAACCATGGACTTATAGAAAACAAACAGGTATATCCTGGACAGGGTAAAACTGAACTGCTCCCTGGAGGATAGGATTTTGAAGTTCTGTCTCACATATTTTAGGCACGTGGCCAAGATAGACCAAGGACATCATGGATAGAGGACATTATGCTTGGAAGAGTGGATCGACAGTGCAGGATAGGAAGATCCAGGATGAGATAGATTGACTTAGTGACTGCACAAATTGGATTAAGTCTGTCAGAGAAGATGAAATTGACTCAAGATAGGATCAGTTTCAGGGATAATGTGCATAAAGTTGCTACAGGTTGCAAGTAACTCAACAGTACATATCAATAACAACAACAAGTACACGGGAGGAGTTATCTACCTTCATGCACGTAAAAATGCAATGGTGACATAGTATGTCTCCTATAGACATTCTTACTTAAAATAAAGATAAATAGGAGATGTAAAGAAAATTACTGTTGCTAATGTACCTTTTGGTCAGAATCAATTCATTAATAACCCTCCATTAGATATTTAGAGGTAGCAAATTGCAAAGAAGGTAGTTGTCCATCTTTTTCTAACAGAACAACTGGTGAATTTGGATATCATGCCTTTGGGTTGGCAGTGCAATTCATTACCACTAAGCCATTAGATCTTCCTATAATAGATACTAGTCCATGTTAATTATGAAATCTAATGAAGAGACTATTACATTTATTTCCAGTCCTACTAACATAATGTAATTATCTATGGCTGTTAGCTCTTTTCCTTATATTTTTGTTTCTTCCTTTTTAAAAAAAGACTAATCCCTTCTTCATATGATACAGTTTATTATTGTTGTTTGTTGTTATGTGTCGTCGAGTCGTTTGCGACTCATAGCAACCCTATGTACAACAGCCCTAAACCCTGCTCTATCCTGTGCCAACTTATTGCCTCTGACACACCCATTCCTATTACGCCAGTCACTGAATCAATCCACCTCATAGAGGGTCTTCCCCTCCTGCGCTGTCCCTCCACTCTGCCCAGCATGGTATCCCTCTCTAAAGACCTGTCTCTCCTCACAACATGTCCAAAGTATATAATTTTCTCATTCTACTTTGAAACCATAGAAATGTGAGAGAAAAACAAAAAAACCCCAAAACTTAATATTTATTTTCTTTTTTTTACATTTACTTCTATTTGGTGATGATATTTCTATAAATTTTCTTTGCACACACTTCAATCTTTCCTTTTAAACTGTTTGTTTCTTTTAAATTCAACCCATGTATTGAAGTATGCCATAAAAAGTGAGAATTCTTTGAGTGTGTTAGAAAGAAGTGATAGATGAATATGAATACCTTGAAAAGTTGAGGCATTTATCATACAAGAGCTTAAGTATTTTCAAGAATGTATAACAAATTTATCTACTATGTCAAACATAGATCATGCAGGATATGATATTAAAATATCTGACATAAATAAAGACATATTTATAAATTTACCCCTTCAGAAATGTATTAAAGTATGTCAGTCCTAAGAAACCAGTTTTAGTTCAGAACGAACTAGGAATATGAAAAGAATCAAAACTGCTATGCAAAGATGAAATTACAAAAATATGGAACTAAAACTACTTTCAAAATGGAGGGAAGCATAAAATATATCACAACATTTCTTTGTCCATCCTACAGCTTCTTACTTCTGCCTCCCGTTAGATGAGATGAAGTGGAGATGATTTAGAAGTACTATTGTTCAGTAGAGAACAAAGCGTATAATTGATAATGAATAAATGAGTAGATCGATGCATTGTAGAAAATGAAGTATATGAGTTCAAAACAAGGGAATTAAGAAGATTAATAATTTCTTTTTTATTTATTAATCTCTGGGAATATATGCTGTTACTTC